AGACGGTTATCTTTTGGCGTTAATGAAACTGAATGAAAAGACCTTTCATCTTGCTTTTATGAGATTGTAAAGAATGTTAAATTTACAGGAACTAAACTGAGGTTTATTGACATGAAGGGATTGGAAATATTTTTTTCCGATTTTTGTGTACCATTTAATGTAGGTCTGGACCAATGGCTTGTGTTCTAATTTTCAGATCATTCTCTCAACCAGTTTCTTCAAGAAAAGTCATTTTTTTATGTGCAAAAAGGCCATAAAATAAAAAGTATTGCAGTGCTTATCGCTCAAACCGAACTTAGAATTGCACAAATATATCAATTTCATTTTTTTTTATTATAATTCTCAATTATATTATCTTACGTGGATATTTGACATTAAAGTTCTTCAGTTGATCAATGGAAGAATTTCCAGTTTGATGTTCCTAGGATTTTTACCTCAGTGGAGCTCTTTTAAGTAATATGCAATGTAACGCAGGAAAACAATCCTTAAAATGTATGACTTTTTCTTATCGACGACCAATATCTATTTATGTGCAATATTGACATTTTCTAACATAATATTTTTTTTCGGACGTAAAGATGGATTTTTGGTATAAAAAGAAACAGTCGGAAACATTTACTTATGAAATTGGGAGCTTTCCAAGCTATTTACTACGAACGTCGCATAGAAATTGTTCTGTCCGCTTAAGGCATTTTAGTCCCTGTGGAATAAGAAGTAATGCACATGTAATGTAAGCAAAAGCACGTCATAATGTAAACATTAACAACGTTTGTGTGTCAAATTGATCTAAAATAATGAAATATGGAGCTCGTATTAACAATTTGTAAATCTCAGTAACGGGATTAGATAAAGTGATCCTGCGTCTAAGATTTGATGTTGAAATATCAATATCATCACAAAGCGACAAAGATATCGGCCAGGAATAAAGCAACATTTAACAATACAATGTTTGTTTATTGTTGTTGTTTTTTATTTTTTTTTTAATCTTTTTATTTTCATTTTATTTATTCATTTTTTATTTTAATCAAAATATTCTAAGAAGTGTGAGTTTATTGATTATCACAAATCCTAAGAGATCTCTTCATGTTTATAATCTTCATAAGCCATAGCTACGTGACAATAATTGAGCGCACTATTTGTGATAGTTTGTATTAAATTAACGAACTCAGAGAGTGGACTGCATGCGAAATTAAGAAGAATAATATTTGCATTAGATTTCAGAGAGTCGATAAAGAATTATTCCGCCAAACTGAACTCAATATGCTATGTGGCCAAATAGGCTTTTATCATAGAATAATAAGTTTTGCTTTTCCGTTTCGTTAAACGGTATAATGTGTATTTATCATTATATTAGAAGACTGTATTGGAACATGAAAACAACAACATTCTTATAAATGTTAAATTTAAATAATTTGTTAATTTCATATTCTTTTATAATCAATAAGCAATTCAGCAAAATATGAGATGGTGGAAAATCGTCAAAAGTATTTTTAAATATCAGAGTAGTTCTAGTATATAAAAACCAGTTACATGAGTTTGTCTTTGATATCATTATAAAGTACTTTATAGAAACGGATGATTTCGTGTTTTTTGTTTAATTTTTTTCCTTCTTCTTTTTTTTTATAAACACTTATTTACTACAAATATTTATCCAAACTAACTTCAACTAGGGTATGTCGCACATTTTCCGTTTTGACTGAAACAAAACCAATGAAGTATAATGAACTATGATGATACAAATGATATACATCCAAGTAAACAAATATTTAAATTTTAAAAATCTACAGGAAAAACAGCTTCTTCTATCACATGGAGTACCATAATCGAATTTTTCTTTCATTATGCACTTAACGCAAAATACATTGATTCAAAAAGCTATATAACTCTTGATTTTATTTTATAGAACACTTCTAAAATTATTGTTATAAATGATTCAGTGTGTTAATGACATACCCTTGCTAATGTGTTGTAAAGGTTTGTTTAAAAATGGCATTGATGAATGAAGACACTATTACGTCAGAAATATAATGCTTATTTTGACATTCTAAAAGCTTTATGGCACATTTTCTCCAAGAATGATAATAAATTGGATAAGTGTTTTCTATTGCTCACACAAAATTTAGAGATCACACGAGTACACTGGGATAAAGGTTGTTTTCGTTCGCGCCCATTGTCTTCAAACAACTTGGCCATCACCGCTTTGGAATCCGATTCCGCAAAGGAACTTTAGGTTTCTTTCATGTGAGGAAGCTTCCACCTACCATACGGAACGCCTGCTGTTCTACATAGGTGCAGATTCGTGTCTGAAATGATGCTCGTAGGAGAACGTTAGGTCTTACTCCGCCTGAGAAGCTGGAAAATTGCCAGATGACCTTTACAGTATTAGTGGAACAAAACCAAACAGTTACTTTGATCAACTGCCTAATATGGATTACCATAATTGGTAAAATATCAAGAAAACTTATTAATGATAAAAAATGTATATAATACAATTTCATATTAAGCACTTTTACACGACATGTAGAGGGACTAGTACAATACTTAAAACCGTCACATACAACGTAACAAAACATTGAAACAAATAATACTTATTTTATTTGTAAAAATACATCTATATACATGTAATTCATATTTAAGCCATTAATTGAGAATTAGAAATTATAAAACTACATAAATTGTAATGATGCAATTCATCTGAAATACTTAAGTCTAGCATAAACGTGTGTCTACACAAACGTGTTTGTACGTACTGTGTTAAGTATGTGATAAACTTAATACTAGACAAGTTATTGAATGTATGTATATATACGATGTTATTACTTTGCGTGGTTTTGTTAAAGGTTATAATTTGTCTCTCCCTAAAGAATAAAATGTGACACCAAATATCATCTAGGAAGAAGAACGCTCACACTCCCGACAAACACCAGCAACATATGCACCCAGGAAGGCGCCGACCAAAAAGCAGGATGGGACACATAACCAAGGCGTACAAATTAATAACAATAAAGAAAATCCATAGAAGATTCAAAGTTTATCTCAAGGGGTCTTATCACAACTTTACAAGAGGAAGGAAACAACGGGAATTAAATATATTGATGAGGCAACGACCCTTCAAAATACCTGCAGTAATATATTTTTATTCATACCATTTTTCTCTGACTTAAAAAAAGTTTAATTATTATATAAACATTTAAAAACCGAAAATATACTTTTTTAAAATCACATTTTTTCTAGAATAACAATATTCCGATGTAAAAGCTGTAAGTGCACAATTAATTACAGTTACAATCAAAATGTTGGTGTCAAATGCAAAATGTAAGTTCAAAAAACTTCTTACCCTTGAATATTCATTTGTCTATCAGTGGTCATTAAAATAAACATGATTGATTACAGCCAATAAAATATGTATCAAGTTATTCATTTTACGATTGTTTCTGTGTATCTTACCAACTTCACAACAGAAAAGTACAAAGATTTTGTACTCGTAGTTAAAAGAAGAATAGGCGTGTGCACTCTATAATTTTACAATCTTTAATACTTCTTTCTTGGAATAACGGCAGAAATAATCAATTTAGCGGAATTAAGAAAGATAATACTGTCTGTAGCGACAAACAAATGACGTCTATGTATATGCGTTAATGATATACCCACAATATTTCCTCTGGGAAATTACTTTGGGAAGGAAAAGTTTTGGAAATAACGGAAAATGATACCTGATTTCTGAAATAATGGATTAAAAATTACAATGTTTATCATCTAAGCAGTGTTTAACATTTGAATAGGAAAATTTGAAATAAATATTCTGGCTGTTTCTTTTTGAAATATGCGGCGTAAACAGACATGAAAATTACGTGTAAGATATTAAATTTCGTCAAAATTTCTTAAATTAATTTTTTTTTTCATTACAGAAACTCAAATGTTGCTTTGAATTTACTTAACTGGAGATAACGATAAAGGAAAAGCGTAACTACAATTTAACTTTTTATAAACCTGAATTATAGTAATAAAAATATCAATTTGCAAAATGCATGAATAAAAAATGGATATATTAATGTTTTGTTAATCATGTAATAAATTTTGATTTGATATAATATTATTCTACACTACATGTGAATAAATTGTCTAAACAAAAGCATTCTTAGAACATTAAAAGGTGTATCGTTTAAGCGACTTTGTATAACATCCCTTTGAAAAGTAGCATAAACGAAATGTAATTTAGCAAATCATGAAAATCCATTATCTCAAATACGAATTATGGACTGAATTGTTGTCTTTCTTTTATTGCATTATGCAAATGATTTGTCAAGAATTAGACCACATAAAGCTTTATCTGCAAGATTGCCATTGACTGAAATAATACCAGTATATTATACATTCATATTAATATAATACACAGTAGTGCTAGGCGCCATTACATATACAACTGGGATCAATAAGGTCGAGAAACACATACAACATCTGCGTTCAATATCATGTTTGTAAATATATAGTAGCATTGTGAAATTGAATAAATTTTCAAATGACTTAATATTGTTATTTTGTGTCAGTCATTATATCATTAGTCAACTGTTTGAAATATAAAGGTGTTTTCGTCTAAATCAATAAAGAAAAAAATGAGCATAATGTCACTTTAATGATAATTTCGTTTATCTATACATGTATTCTTTTTAAGAAAGGGGGAATCCTACATAATGTCAGTAAAAATTGTATCAGCTATAGATTAGCTCCACTGCTCTTAAGCTGTACTAGTTAGTGTTAAATTCCCCCCCCCCCCGCCGACTTATGAAATAATCAATCCAAACTATATTTTACAAATAGAATGAAATATTTTGAAATATAACCGCAAGTATGTACTTCATTCTAAAGAAATATTTTTTCAAGCACGTAGTGAAGAAAGTCTTTTCTTCCATTTTGACGCCTCAGATTGGCAAAATCAACTGCAATCCACAAAATAGATTAATTTCTACTCCGTTCAAGCAGGAAATTTACTGGTATTAAAGGCTTTGTCTGCTGAAGTGAGATACAGGGTAAACTCCAATACATTTAGAATAGTGTGCATGTCAGCGACAAGAGAACTTTTATCAATAACATTCACAGAATTATTGGGATGAAAGAACTTAAGGACTATCTGATAGGTGACAGCTGAGTTAAGGAAGTTATGTTGTACTAAATTGGAAAAATAGTGGATGCTGTGAACAACCTGAATGGTAATTATTCTTGTTAATAATATATTAATAATATATCGATATCTAAGCACAAATTTAGATTTTTTTCTTTAAAAAAATACAAGTTTTAACATATTCACTTGCATGAACATGATAATTGTCTAGATTACTTTCGAATCTGCTACATAATCACGTTTTTTTACAAGTTCATAAAATGCATGTAATAGTTATCAACCTTTGAGACCAAAATGTACTCATTTCGTTCATTCTAAAGTGTGACAAACTTGTATATAATATAAAATATCATTAATTTTACTCAGCATTATGTGTAAATATAATATGCAATCATAACACTTTACGAAATTTAGATTTTGTATTTCTTTACAGTAAATCTTTTAAAAACCGTTTTTGAGTATAATTTTCATGTTGTATAATAACTATTGTGAATAGAATATCTAGTTTAGTTATGACACACTCCTTCTGACTAATGGGTTGCCCTAAAGGGTTGGGGCATCATAAATGCAGCCACCGTTTATCCCGACATGATTGTAAGGGGCGACTAAATGAGTTTAAATTACTGTAGTCTATGCATCTCTAAGCTCAAGGAGGTGGGTGGTTTTACGTTGCTTTAAGTTTGTAACACCCGAGGTAAGCCAAAATCAAATTTCCTGTTTCGTCGCCATTTGATCATGACCTTAATTGTGTTGGTGCGCTGTCCAACCAAACAAAAGTAAAACCACAGAAAGATACTACATTAAGTTCTTTATCATACTCATTACGCAAATATGGAACTACAATTACGCTGGAAATAATCTGTATAAAATATATAGAATTTTATTGCCTTTTATTTTAGGTTGCTTTTATTTAACAGTGATGTTGTTATTGTATCTATAACACAACCGATTGCTTAAGCAGACAAGTTTTTTTCTCTATGTTATTCTATTTTGATGGTGGTATTTTTGTTGCTGAACAATTCATTGCATTTAACCCAGTGATAAACAACAGTAATTATATAAATAACAATTTTAAAGTCAGTCAATGGGGTGTATAACAATACAAACAAGTATATACTTAAAGATCTTGCTTTGATAAAAATATTAGTCGGAAATGTTTTATGTGGTCTTACAGCCTTCCATTAAATCAAATTCTTAACGGTCTCCCAGGAATATTAAAAATATCTGTAAGTTTTAAATCAAATTACTTCTTTTTTAGGTTTTACTTCATCTAGGATGAAAGGTAGCTGCAAATTAACAGTCACTATTTAATATTTATATACTCAAAATGTTGTACGAAACAGTGATTTACACAATATTAGTAGCAAACAGTGCCTCATATGTTCATTCTTTGAAAAATAATACTGATGACACGACAGTAGACACAAGTGAAAGTAAAAGACATTACACAAATACAACAGAGACCACATTGAATGGATACAGTACTTTAACCTCAACACCAGTATATAAAATTTTAGAATCTTTGGAGAATAATACGTATGCACATAATTCGACATTTCTGGTGGCCGGGAACCACTCTTTAGAAACATTAAATACAACTTCTCTAGCCGGGAATATGAACGAAAGTATTTTTATTGGAATTAGCTCAGTCAAAGACAAAACAATCTTTGTTGATGGCTCTCATAAATTTAGTAACGTATCCCATTTTCAAAATGATAGTACCTTTGACAAAGTATATCCAAATACAACGAACACAAACGACACGTCCACAAATAGAACAACATTTTTGAATAACGAAACAGTACACAAAACGGAGACAATTCCAACTGCAAAGATATCAATTCAAGAAAAGGCCAAAACTGTACATTCAACAAAAAGTAACGACGCTAAGACATTGCTGCTAGAAGAGAAGAAAGTCATGTTGCAACATCATTTGCAACTAGGTAATAGTTTAAATATCATAAACTTTATAATTTTATCAACAAATGTTTGGAAAATTTAAAAATACTTGTATGATAATGGTCTAAGAAAGTAAATTTCTCTTTCCAAATTAAAATCAAATAAATATTTAAGAATTTGAAAATTTCTATGAAGATTCTTTTGCTCTCTTTGTTATCGTGATTCAATTTTAGATATTGTAAATGTTCATAAACTAATAACTTACACAATGTCATAGAACGTTTTCCTTGCCTTTTGAGATTTAATTACACGCTGTTAATCAATTAGGAATATTTTCTAAATACATACTTTATAACTTTAATTATTTTTTTTTCCAGTGCCTATGGAAGACAGACCTTTAGACTCGATGATGCTAAAAGTAGGTTGAAATTTAAATTTTCTCATTAAATGATTTTGTTTATAAAATGGAAACTTTAAAGGCTTTTTTTCAGGTCGTACATACTTGTAACATATATATTAGTATTTAGCCTGATAACGACAACTTACTCTAACCATGCGATCAGTGCAGACGTACATCAGCCAACTCATCTCTGGTTTCTGATAATTGCCTGCACCGTTGCGATTCAGCAATCCTTTTTTTTTAATTTTCTTTATAAATGGTCAATGGTGTTGTCAAGAATGAATGACGAACAGGTCCATAATTGTGAGGAAAGATATACTTTTATGTTATACATTTCTATATTAAAGTGTATTTGTCTGTAAAAGAACGTTTGTAATACAATAACTAATTGCGTTGATAGCATTCTTGATTGCATATTGCATTCTATTTCACAAATAACAACAAAACACGAAATAATTACGCATGGAAGTTGTTGGTAAGTGTTAGATACATGGATAGTAAATATATTTATATAGCAAATAATAAATTGTTTTAGAACAAAATATTATTATTCATCATAAAAATGTTCGTACAAAAGCATTAATCATCATTTTTTTCTGTCAAGCAAAATTTTATAAGAATATCCAAATGATACATTTCTATTCAATAATATTTGAAAAGCTTGAAGAAAATGTGCACATTGTAGACCAATCCTCTTTAAGGGGATCTTTTAAGTTCCTTTTGCTATTTTTACCACACAAAAAATTCAAATGTGAGTTCATATTTCAGAGTCAGCGGTATCTAATAAGCGTTTTAGTACCCATAGGTGTGGGCATGATTGGCGCTGTGATGATTGTGTGTACAGTTGTCATTTTAAGAAAGGTTGCTAGGAAACGAATGGTTCACACCCCGTTAGATGACGAAACAGAGGCGGAAACGTCAATAGCATCACGTATCTCAAGCGTAAGCCAAGTTTCATGTTTCCACAAAATTTATTATCGTACTATATAAACTGTGTGACATCATTTTATTAAATGACTACATGACATTAACTGCTACACGTTATTGAACATGCTTTGAATTATTTTTCTTTGAAAGTTAACCTATGTTTTCTTTTTCTTCTGAATAACACATAGGCAATATTGTTGATTTTGTATTTCAAATAACATTTTGTATGTCAAACAACATTGGATAAATCAGATACCTGAGATAGCATAGTCGTAAATGGGCGATGATGATTTTTTAAATTAAAGTAAGTAACAAAACGTACAGCATTAGTTTTATGACGAAGTAATGGTGGTTTTAGTGAACCATTATAATAATGATAAAAATAATAATAATGAATCATGTACTGAAATAATAACTTCTATGTTTTAAATCTATTTTCGACCTTTTTAAACATTGCAGATCAGCACAGGCACGACAGAAAAAGTGTTTTTATTACATACGGACGAAATTTGACAACCGATGCAGCGAGTTTCCATCAACATATTTTCTAAATATCACTGGAAGATAAATTGAAATAACCAAGATATTATTAACGACGTATTCTGGAAATGAAGGAGGAGAAACTGAAAATTACCGCCATTAATCATTCATTTATATTTGACAATCTTATTACATGTATCAATAATATCTTTCAACAATGATAATATATTTATTATTAATAATTGTTCCAAAAACAAGGTTTGGTAAACATAGAAGCTGGTGATAACACCTGCATTGCGAAATTTACTAGATTCGGTTATAATAAAACTGCATGCATCCAGATGAGCATTAACATTTCAAGAAAATCAAACTTGACAAAAATGTTTGTTGTTTAAAATTTTAAAAAATAAAAGCATTCAAAATTCAAGCAATAATCTGCATGTAATTTGCATTAATGACTGAAAATGCCGTAGAGCTATTTAAGCATATTTTGACCACTTTTTGGTAATTAACATGAATTGTGACATTAATATTTGCAGTGTGTAAATTAGCTTTTTTGTTCACAGTACAATTTTTACTTTTAAAGAGATTCGCAAAATTTTCATAAAGAATAAGAATGAATCTGGAGGCAGAATGCATTAGGGAGGCTTTGAAAATGTCATGAAGCTTATCTGAAACGGGCTTTATGGAATTTTTTTGAAAATGTTAAATGTTATTCTATATGAAATAAAAAAAATATTTTGGTCGCATAATTTTATAAAAGTTAAAAACGGCTAAACAACGTTTTACGAAGAAATTGTACACGTAATGTTAAATAAAAAAGAAAAAAAATAATATTGAAAACATGTTTGTGATGCAGTGATTTAATATATGTTTGTAAGGGGCAAATACTAAAACATGTAAAAAGGAAAACAAAATTGTTTTATACATTTCTCATAAACAGTGTTTTTTATGGTTTGTATTTAATCTTTAAAAACATAAAAAAATGATATGAAATTATATTGTAATTAATCTTAAAAAAACATAGAAAATTGAAATGAAATTACATGAGATTGTGTTTTGTTAACTGAATATTAGCGGTTAAACCTTTTAAACAAAACGAAGCTTGTCAAGTCAGTTGGCAAATGGTGAAACTAATTTAAAATCATCAATTATTATTCAATTAAAGCAGTTCCAATTTAGAATGAAATTGTTCAAAGTAGTTAGAATATAATGGAATTCTGGAATTTGATAACATTATGAAATGGATTATTGCTTCGCTGCACACGCTAGTAAAAGCTTTTTATGTGCATCTTAATTTTAAAAGTACTTTTTTAAATTACAAAGTGCTAGATAAATGTTGGCATTTCCCTACTTTAATTTGCGTCATCTCTAAATGATAGCATTAGACTAACACTAAATGATAGCATTTGACATACAGAATGTTTTTTTTTTCTAAATTTTTATTTGACTATTTATAACCAATATTCGTTAAAGATTATCGATAACAAAAAGACTCGAACGAACCGGGCCTGCATTATACATTTTCATCTTTATCGTCTCAGAGGACCTTCAATAATTTTTGTGACAGCAGCAGTTGTTGCATTTCATAGAAGTTCAAAGAGAATTTTTACATGACCAAACATAAGGAACTGTTCTGCACCATTGTTTATAGTGCTTGTAGTACTGCCTTGTCTTTCAAGAACACCCTTTCACTACTGACAATTCCAATATACTTCTTGAATATTGTTCATTAATCCTTGTTGGTGAATTTTTCCTGGTGAATTACTTATGAGCAAAGTTTTCTTCAATCTCTCTTATTAAAATCTATTCACAACGACTAGGCTCTATATTTGTGTAATTTCTTTTGCATATAAATAAAAAAAAATTGTTATGACCTTTTTTACTTTCCAGACGAAAATCAATTTTCAAAGAACATTTTCAAGAACATTCTTTACAAAATGTTGATCAAAATTTATTCAAATTAACATTGATTTGATCTTTAATTATACATAATTGCCCTGATCCCTTCGTAGGAAAGTGAATGAGTATTCGTTATGTAAAAGCTGGCTAAATTTATATTCATTAATGTCTTGGCGATGTAACACATTTGCAGTGAGAACTCTATAATTTCGTTTGTTTTTGGAAGCCCAATCATCATTTCAAATGACACATTAATTTGTTTTGTAATTATACCTTACTAGTTAAGAGAGCAATCGTAAAGTCAAACTCGGCAAAGTTGGTATCAATCAATAAAGGTCTGAAAATTGAAACGCCTTCGCAGTGATAACACTATAATTTTGTTATTTTGTTTTTTGAAAGATTTATCATTATCTCGAATTAGAATGGCACTTAGTGTACACTGCTACGTTTTTTTCATATGCTCATATAAAGGTAATCGATTGTAATTTTGTTATTGTCTAGAGGTCACAGTAAAGATAATTTTCGTCAAGCAATTTTCGTTAAGCATTAGCTCTGTTCAAGATTTATTCACATATTTTTTGTTTAAATGTTAAATTGGTTAACAATACAAAAAAAATGAATAATTTACTAGAGCAATATGGAACTATACTTAAAGGCCATAATTACAATGACACTTCATGTAGTTCAAGTTCATGTAAGTTCAAGGCCTGAACATCATCAAGAATGCTAAGCTGAGCTTCTTAGGCCGATTTGAGAGCGTTTTCCCAACTTGTTATTATTCTTCAACTTCTTTGTGAGGGTTTCAATATTATTGTGAATGTTAATTTGTAATTCCATCAATCTATTATTAACATAGTTTCAGGTTTTTACATCTTAAAGATTTTATTCACACATGAAATTAACTTATTTAAACTAATTGAACGCAAATCTGTTCATTTATTGCTTATCTAATTATTATAACTTCACTGGGTTTGATAACACTTTGCATTAAACTTATTTTGACAGATCCACGGCTTATTCAATTTCGCCTTGAATGAATTCAATGATGTAGCTTCTACGACCTCAGAATTTATAACGTGTTTCACGAATCCACAATTATATGACTGGATGTGTTTTGTGTTGATACTTGCCATTGGTTTAAAAAAATTATATTTGTGACCTCTGGTAGTTGGCCCATCTCTAATTCTTATTATTCCTTGTTTTTGTATCAGTTTTGTTAATTATTTTATAAGTTTTGATCATGTCTGCTCCATTTCTTCTATATTCTAAGGTTGGATTGCTTAAGTGTAACATTCTTTCGCTATATTCTGTACTCATCTTTGGGTTTTTTTTCAATGGATATTGCATCTCTTTTTAATTTAAGTGACCATATAGAGTTGTAGAACATATAAGTAAAGTTTTTGACAATGAGTCCTAAGTTTATGTTTGCCTTATTTACTTTACTGTCTACTTATATGTTTACTAAATGTCATTTTACAATCAAAGATCACGCCCAGGTCTTTTCTTCATTTGCATGTTGAATTTTGTAGATATTGTTGCTTGAGACTTCATAAAGTAGTCACATTGTATGTTTTGTCCAATATGAATGGTTTTACATTTTTTTATGTTGAAGATCATTTGCCATTTCCTTGCCAAATCACACACTTCGGTTATATTATCCTGAAGTTGAATTTCACCATTGTGCCCATTAATGACAGAGTATAGTTCGGTGTCGTCTGCAAAGAGTTGAAATCAAGGTACACTATATCTATAGCATACACTTCGTCTTTTGCTTAAAGCCAGTCTTCAATACAATCCAACAGTTGTTGGACCTTTCTCTGGTATATAGAAAATGGATTATTTTCCTCTGTATGATTTACAATATCATTTCTCATTATTTTATCCACTGCCAATGAACAATATAATTATATTCTACAAAGTAATGTATGGAATAATTTATGCGCCGATTTGGCATGCAGATCTTCATAGAATGATCATTTACCTCAAATTAGAACTTTAATATCAAACAGAAAAGTCAATGGATAAACAATAATTTTAGGATATTTAAAAGCCCTTTAAGCTTAATATTGCTATCATTTTTAAAAAGTTTCAAAAGTTTTTCAGTTTTGTTTAATATATTAAGTGTTTTGTTACAGTTTGCCATAATACATCATATCATTTGCCATATAAATTTTATCTGTACCCATGACCTTTCGTATGCAAATTTGTTTACATATTAATTCTTTTACTATGACACACTTTCCTGCAGAATAACCTCTTTGTATATTTAGATTTACATTGTATAAGATGGTGTCATTTTGTGTAGAATTATTCTGCAGGTTCGTAAATATGTCTGTTTCATTAACGGCAAAGAAACTTCTGAACTATAAGATAAGTGTCTGGATGTAAATAATATAAGTCTAAGAAAATTGCATTGGCTTTTCGCACGATGTCAATTTACTCCGAAAACGTAAACATTCATTTCTGACGCAAAGTTCACTGGGACTTCTTTCAATAGAAAGGTTGAAAACATAAAAGTAATATTGAAATGAATGTACTTCATTACTGTTTGTCTACACAATATTGCGATGTTTCTGAGGGCGAATAAATACAATTCTGATTCCACAATCATATTTTACATAGATCTAAGTTAAAGCAAAATTTCTCCGCCGCATTGAAGCCTTTTAAAAAGTAATTGAAAGACCGCTGTAAAATTCAATACAGTTTAAAGCGAAAAGATTTTAAAACATATTTAATTTAACATTAGCAAAAATCATTATACACAAAAATTGTCAGAAATTGGATAACGATATTAACCTCTTTTTAAACAATCGTTACTATGACCACAGGACATCACAAATTTTTAAATGTCGACATCTAAAACCTGATCGTTATTTAATCTAAACAGATAGCAAACATTCCACGAAAAATATTAATGGCCGTGAAATATATTTATATTGCATTTTTCAAAATAAGCAGGAGTTCTCACTTTACCGTCGTGCACTCCGAATCTTCTTCAGACAATATCTATACTTGGTTACAAGCGATGATCCTAGAATTTTTTATACATACGCAAATCATCAAATTGTTTTCATCTTTCAAAACGTTTTATTCTTAATCTTTTAAATCGCATGCTTGTACTGTTTTAGTTCGAAATAAATAACCACGAAAACGCCAAAGCGGCGCAACTCATAAAACGTGACATACGCTGCGTTTAATGAGCCTGTGTGTGTGATAAATTTATGAATCCTGTCAAATTTTCATCAGAACGTTGTTTAAAAACCTAAACGATTCATAAAATTAATCAGCGTTTGTTATTTTTTTTGAAATTGCCATACAGGATATGTGTTTGTTTTCAGAATGAACACCAATTTGAGTGTATGAAAAAGAAACATAATGAATATATGTGCACTTGTTGCCTATACGTGTTTAAAAAAAGTGAAATCTAAAAAAAAAAAGTAGTCATGCAAATTTATCGTAATAAAATGCACTTTCAGAAATCAGTCAAAGTTTGCTGAACGCCTGAACACATGCAGTCTTCTTGATATGCAAATGTCATTCATCTGAAATTCATTAGTCTAAGAGTGTCACTGATTTTATTATCTGCCTGGCATAACCCTTGATCTTATATCCATAGTAACCTAATTCTAAATTCAAAATATTCTCTGCATTCGTGAATTTAAGTACAATTAGTTTTGGCTATCAATAGCACCAATTTGTTCTGCAGAATAATTTTGAAATAAAAACGGATGCACGAGAAATAATTCCAACTTAATTACAAAAAAATACAAACGTGAAAATAATTATCTCTGAATCTCAGAAGCAATCTCAATGAACTTTATAGTTCGTTTAAATAATAAAAAAACATAAATAAATGAATAAATAAATATTGAATAAAACTAAAGAACCCAAATAACATAATGTTCATTTCGCTATCCCGCCCTAGACCATTTACTGTATCAACAGTGTCATAGCTTTTTAAGTTTAACTAAATGGGCCCCTGCAAGGAATATATCCAAAGCATTCTCTGTATTTAGTAACAAAAATTTTAACTAGTTATACACATACGATTATCTAAATTATAAACACATTTTTTTATTAACATTCTTAACTCATTTATTAACACAACGCATATATATAAAAAGATATTAATATGACAACGAGTAATAAGTAATAGTGTTTTTTCTTGTTAATCATTTAACCATTGTCAGATAGTAATTGAAAACGCAAGGTTATGTCCAAAATAGCTAGCATTATCTTTAAACCAAAATTATCTAGTTCTACCTATCAATTTCTGATACTTTAGCGACTAATTCACACCAATGATAAAAAGAGATAAAGACAATTGTCGATATACAAAAGGTGGCAACGTTTGTCCATGTATACATTTATTTGGAAGTAAGATACATGTACTTGTTCGTAATGTTACTTATTTACAAAAAATATCTAGTTAATTAGATAAATATACAATGTACATTGTATATTATTTATCTCTTTACACGAAAACATACTCAATCGCCGCATAATTTATATGATAATTAAGTTTTAAACTGTTGCCAGAAATATGTAACCATATTTATTACTGCATTTTACTTTTCACATAAGTCGTGTGTTTGTATACAATGTTGATTTAATGTCTGTTATAATCAAGTCTAGACTAGTTGTTGATGTTATTTTGCTGTCTGGCAATGCTTCGCTTCCGTCAAATTGGATAAATAATGTTATGTCAATGAAATTCTTATATCACTACCCAAGGGAAACTTCTTCTCATTACCATTGGTGATAAGTATGAATAATTTGCTCACATGTGAAAAAATGAGTGCGCTGTGGGTGCTGAAAATGTATTTGTTACATTATCTGAGTAAGCAATAAAACTATTTTTAGCCAGTGTGACAGACAGTTTTGTTGTATTTTTATTGCAAGTCTTATGGTATCATTATCCTGTCATTTTATTAATTTTATTTTATGACGTAAGTAACACGTCATCAAAAGAAAACGTTAACACGCAAAAAACCAACTTAATACATTACAGACTCCACTGATGTCCAAAGGCCTAAAACCTAAAAATTGAATTGCTTACATATATCAGCTGATAATTGAGAAAAATATTCAGAAATACATTGAAAGTTATAACTGTGTGTATCCCTAGGATTTCAATTTTTTAATGTAATGTTGGGTAACTTTTCACAATTAAAATAATTATTCAAGGAAAATGCAGTGGGCAAATGGCAAATTCTGAAACACAAGTACATAAGTACATCGAATGGAACATTAATTTCAAAAACAATATTTCAAGTCCTGTAAAAAAAGCTCAATCTGGTAGCTTTGGAAATTTCGAACTACTTTCAGTTCTTTTGTTTGTGTACAACGTGCACCTATTTACACTATATTGTTTTAATTTGGAAAATATTATAATGTACAATGTTGCTTTTTGAATTATCCAGAAAAGTATTTCAAATAACACGGAAAACACCACAGTAAAACAAGCTGTAATAGTTATCAAATATCCTCGGTGGGTAATAAAAATACTCTATCCGTATGATCTGTACTGATCTGAAAAATAAAAACGAAAAGAAATCAGCATTTTTTTGCTTTGAAAATGACTAAAGCAAAATTAATTTTAATTAGTTTTGGCAAAGATGTAGTAAAACGTTAACTATTTTCATTAAAGAACATTACTTTTATGGTTTCATGCATAGTGATATGGAACTTCAAAACATCGAATTGATAAAAACACTAACTTAAATTGTACATTTTTGATCTTTTTTTTTAAATTAATTTCTATTGGCCTCTCTTGTTGCAATGTATAATACATAGTGAGGTTCTTGATATTTCATTTGAAATCATCTCACTCCACATAAGTTCAAAAACAATGAATTACCTTAAGATGACCTGATGAAGATATGTGAAGTGTCTAATTATAAATAATTCTTTGTCTAAGAATATATAGTTGTATTTAATATACAAATGTACCAACTGGTTCACATATATAAATCATTTTATGAATAAACAACTGACTGAAAATGTTTTAGAAATTAAAAAAGATAGGATATAAGGTTGTAACGTGCATATGTTTGTGTTGAATACTGTGTCAATACAAGTATCACGTAAGCGTGACGAGGCCTTTTATAATTATGATATCATGTTTGATGTCATAAACATAAAGCTGATTTCCGGTTATCTGAAAAATCATTATTGAACAACCACAGCAATTTTCTTTTATTATTAAGTGTCTGCACGACAATGTAATTATCTTACTTACGCACGATATATGCGATTCAGTTGACCTTTCCGCTTCTTCGTCATCATCTAGTGGTGTGTGGACAAACCGTTTTGTTGCAACCTTTCTTACCGAGACTACCGTACATATAATCATACTAGCACCAATCATACCAACACCGATTGGTAACAATACACTAACCACATACTGCTGACCCTGAAAATGACATAAACTAGTTTTCACAGCTTTTGAAATTATTTTCGCTCTTTGATGGGCCTCCTTAAATGTTTAATTATAACAAAACATGTGTAAGTATAAAGAAATGCTCTTGAATGTTGAGAAAATGAAAACTATTCATATATGTATTATAAAATGTAATTAAGTTCAAATGTTTTCATTTTGCATTTAATTTACTGAAGTTTCCAATCAACATTTGTACAAATAATAATAAAAGAGCATATGATGAAATAAGCAGAACAAAATATATTTTATAACATATAAACTGCACAGTTTGTTCATTTTTATCAAAGTTTATTAAATATTCAATATATTAAGTTTTTTTACTGTCAATACTGTCTATTTTTGTAATGTCCTATTGAATGTAATACTGGCCAACATGAGCTAATTCACTACGTAGAACTGTTTCCTTTTAAATAAAAAAAATTAATATCTAAAACATGATGATAGTTTTTCAAGCACAATATGAAATAATTTTCTTCAATACTGTCTATTTTTGAAATGTCCTATTGAATGTAATACTGACCAACATGAGCTGATTCACTAAGTTTTCAAATTTATCAAAATATTTGTGAATATGATATTTAGTTTCCATCTTTTTTAGATATTGAAATTGTACGATTTTCTTTATTTAAAAAGAATTCAAGTTAGAAACATAAAATGCAACTGAAAGAGAAAATTATCAAATGATTTTATCAATCAATGTATACATATTATGATATAATATTCGAAGCTTAAGAAAATAAGTTTTTTTTTATCATTTCCATATTCTTGCATATCATGTAATTACAGTTCATAAAAATTGATAGCCGTCAATTACAATTTCGGTAGAAGCTTTTACAATTTTACAAAGAATACTATCACATGCCATCTGAAATTCATTTCTTACATTGACAAAGTTGTTTAAAAATTAAAACGATTTCGTAACTTATAAATTGTGTCTTACCTGTAACATCATAGTGTCCAAAGGTGTATCTTCCATAGGCACTAGAAAAAGAAAGCTATACAATGTAACTGCCAATAAGGATTTTTAATCCGACAAAATTGTTATCATGTTTCCCACGCAATATCATTTGAATGACTATATTGGTTCAAATTTTCACATATTTCTGCAGCAAATGAAGTTATTACATATACGTAATATCATTATCAAAGCGCATTAACGCCAATGTCAAAATTAAATTGTAAAAAGGATGTTTCAAGTCACATTGAGCTCATACAAGAATTAATAGTGAGTTTACTATTCAACATCAAATTAGCTTTATATTTTGCAATATTTGTTTTTTAAATTAATATACTTTAAAAAATCATCAACTCACGCAACTGACCGGGTATTTTTGTACATACAGGTAACGTTCGAGGGATAAAAACACGAAAAATGGTTACGAGCACAATGTTTGTATTGTCTTTCAGTAATTAATAGTGCATCGGGTCTAGTAATTATTAGAAAATATTACCTAAATGCAAGTGATGTTGTAACATGACTCTTTGCTTTTCTGGTAACAATTTCTTAACGTTGTTTCTATTTGTTTGGTGTGAAATATAGTACTTTTTTTGCTTCCTTTTATTTCCAGTAAGAAACATAGGCAATGTAACATTGTCATGTTTAAAGGTTTCTTCAGTTGTAGACGTATCCATGATGTCTGAAGTATTTGGATTTCTTGGGTCAAAAGTTGTACAATTGTAACAGTATGATATGTTTTTAACTTGGTCGGATTCATTTACAAACACGTCGTTCTCCTCGACTGAGGTATTCCAACGAATATAACTTTCTTTAGTATTCTCTAATAGACGAGTGGAATTGATATATTTATCTGTAGAATTGCTTATTATCGTTTCTAAACTGCTATTTTGTGGTATTGCATCAAAAGAAGTACTTTCATTATTTGATGTTCCTGTTGCATTTTTGTAGTACATTAAACCTGTTACGTCATATCCGCCAGTTGTATTGTCGTCTGCTCTATTTGTCAGAGAACGCACATATGACAAACATGTTGTGATAAATATTGTCAGTATCATTGCTACGTAATTCATTTTAATCATTCACATATCCAAAATGTCACTATTCACTATATTTATCACTTCCGAAAACGGAGAAATATCTGAAAAATATAAAGATTTATATATAACAATGTAGAAGTAAAAATAAATAAAACAACTATATTAAGATGAGACTACAGTACATTTGTACCACTGTATTCTTTTATCCATACTTGTCTAACTTGCTTTTTCCATTTCGAATAAAAACTATCACTGATATAAAATTGATCATTTCGTTTGTATTCCTACAGTATCTAAGATAATTTTACTTTCTTATGCACTTTATTCTTGAAATAAATATGATGTCTTTTAAATGCCCTCCAGTGAATAATTATGGGCCGTGTAATGTAATAATTATTATAGAAAAACGAAAGACAAATGGCTTTCAAACTTGAAATTTGACGATACAAATTACTAAAAGCTATTAAATTGAAATAGCCGTAAATTAGGAAAAATATTTATATTCCAATTAAATCTTATGCGATTTATTTTACTTGTACCTCATAATAAATAGTTACAAAAGAAGACCCTAAGAACAAAATTTGAATTGATAACATATTGAAAGAACGTCAGAAGCAAAAATTCTAATATCAATTTTGTTACTTTTAAAAATTTGAAATATAATTATAATATTTTAATAATATTTCATACTTGCCATAGATACACGTGACATCCTTTATTCTTCAAAGTTATACAATAGTCCGTCAGTTGAGACTCTCTGATAACACTGTAACATTTATTGATAAACATACTCTTGTCACTGTCTTTAACGCTATCCGTGACGTATTGGAGATCTGTTCGTCCTACAGACAAAATTACTAAAGGCCCATTAAGCTATAAAACATGTTGAAAATTCTAGTTTTCAAAATAAAAAATCAGAAAGACAACCAAAGGTTGTTTTCTTGCTTAAACCGGTGCTAGGGTGCGTGGACGGTAACTTGCGCTTTCCAGTACTGTCCAAAAACAAGTTCAGTCAAACCGAGCTCGCAACATTTTCAATTTATTGTCTTAGGTGTTTTAAGGGAATCCGTTTTTCACTATTTTGGTGTTCTTTTACAGTTTTAAAAAGAGTGCATATTTGCCTTATAGCTGAGTAATATTTAGCTTCTGTAGCACTTAAGAAATTAGTAAAGTTATAATGATTTATTATTCTGAAAGGAAGTTAAAATTCCACAGTGCCTTTGTTTATATTTTGCTGCCTTTATGACAAATTATTTTACTTCCTGCACACCTCAATCCGTCTGATGAGCATCAAACATGTACAAATTCTTACAACATCATAAAACCCATATTTGCTATTAGTAAACAAGAGTATAAGTTTTCTTTTTTTGATGAAAAATGTGCCTTTAATAATAGAGAGACAGAGAGAGTATAATGTGTTCATCATTTTTAGTCCTCAGAATCTTTCATATTTCTTTTGACATTTTGATAGATGTCGATTAAAAATTAAAAAAAACACTTGTAATGAGTTTAGAGATTAACAAACAAAACACCTAACTCCGCCACACTCCCTTAAAAAATGAAAAAGTAAAGAAAATTTATTGCAAAAAATACCCCAACAATAACATAAAAAAACTGTGCGCTTTTTCATTTTGTCTTTTTACTTTTTAAACGTTACATACTCGTGCAGCATTTATTCCATGTAAATAATGTAAAACAATGAACTCTCTCGTGATTAATGATCCTTTTTGCATCACTAACATGACTTAAAAGGTATAAAAATGATAATAGTCATGAAAACTAAATCAGTTGGTATCCAATAAAGTTTTAAAAGTCCATGTATCTGTATTTGATAGGTCAAAGGCAGACAGATGACAGTTTGACTCAGGTCGATAAGGCATCGTCCTATCTTTAAGCTTTCCTAATGCTTGTAAATTGTAGAATAAATACCCTGAGCAGCTTTTCCATTGTAACATCAGCTTACAGTGACATGTTGCTGAATAAATACAAGGAAAATATTTGTGAATTTTCTAAACGAAATATTTAAACTTATTGATTTCAACCAAAACTGATTATCTTAATTAAATTATTTTTATCAATCAATCTATGGTGAATTCATAAAATATTTTTAAAAAATCCATATATATTTGATACATAATGGCGTCATTTGACAGAGTTCATAGAATTGTCATAATTTAGGATAGTTTTGTTTTAATCTTAGGATAGTTTTTAGGATGGTTTTTTTGATATTAATTCACACTGTCAGTAAAAAAGTCATATGTAGACATTCCAACTTATCTGGTAGTGAATGACCATAGACACACCTTTCGTCAATATGTCAGGGCACATGAAAGAATCCAATGTCCGTCCCTGTCTTGATTTAAATATTTGAACCCATGGTGGTTTGGGCCAATGATTTGAAATTGGAAATTTTAACCACTCGGCCGCGGTTATGTTTTCATTGCTGTTGAGGGAGCTCCCTTTTTCCAAAGCACATGAATATAATAATAGAAATATTTTGGTTTGCAAAATACATGCAGTACAGGAAAGTGCAAGATTATAGTGGCTGATTTGTGCCATTCGTGTTTTCGCCCCGCAGGGCGAAGTTTTATTTCTTAAACTTCGCCCCGCGACCCCGCTAATTAGCGTGTTTTCGTCCCGCGTCCCCGCCAAGCGAAAAGTCGATAATTAACAAGTTAAAATTGCGGGGGCGCGGAGCGAAAACACGCTTATTAGCGCCCCGCTAATAAGCGTTTTTTCGCTCCGCGCCCCCGCCGTTTTATTACTTAAACCTCGTCCCTCGCCTCCGCGGGGCGAAGTTTTATTTTTTCAACTTCGCCCCGCGCGCTCGCTAATTAGCGTGTTCTCGTCCCGCGACCCCACCGTTTTAACTTAATTTAATTCTCGACTTTTCGCTTGGCAGGGTCGCGGAGCGAAAACACGAATGGCACAAATCAGCCACCATACAAGATACTGTCCACGCTAATTTGTAACTGTCCACGCTAACTTCTCGGCTCTTTCCGTCGAATTTTAGAAAGGATCTCGAACACAATAGTAAGAATGCGCAAAACGGAAACGGTATTTCGGTCTTACCTACGCGAAGAAACTAAACATGTAAACAAATTACGGTGTTCCGTTGGACAATCGTGACTTTTTATTTGGTCTGTACCCGCGATGCACGATGGTACGATGGTGAAAACGCGATGGCACGATGGTACGATGGTGAAAACACGATGGTACGATGATGAAAACGCGATGGTACGATGGTGAAATCGCGAAGGCGCGATAGTACGATGGTGAAAACGCGATGTTACATTGCGTTTTCACCATCGTACCATCGCGATTTCACCATCGAACCATTGCGTTTCACCATCGTACCATCGCGCCATCGTGTTTTCATCATCATGTTATCACCATCATACCATCGTAATGAAATATTACACTGCCTGTTTTAGTTTTAAATCTAAAACAAGAACTTTCAATCCGTGTTTAAGTTATTATGAATAATATCCGGGGGTGTGCCGATTGCGTATATGCCCCATGGCACCGGGTAAGTAGAATTTAACTTTTTACATGAAACGGCAGATGAGAACCTAAAGCGACTGTGCGAGTCAATCTTAACTCTTAGTCTACAGGCGTCAAAGCGGCAAGGGCAGATCAAGTTTAGCCAGGTAACCATGTCATTGACCATACTGTTAAGACGGTACATATTTTGAAATATTCCTAAAAATGATGAATGGATTACTCCTGTTTGAAAGATGAACAAGTCAATTTGGAATATTTAGCTTGGTAATGATTGAAGAAAAGTAGAAATATTAAAGCATGTTCTCCTAAAATGTGACAGAATATAAAGTAACACAATCCAGATATCGACTCGATTTACAAGAGCCAATCGCTAAATTGAGTATTGATTGGGCATAAAATAAATCCTACCACTAAAGAACGATGCAAATTGGTTGTCACCGGCAGACATTTTATGTTATTCATATTCTGCTCTGGGGAAATTAAGATAAACTGTTATTTCTCAGCAATATGCTTTACGTCTATGATACAGACTACATTTTGTATATTGTTGCCATCGCCTTTTGGGATATTTATGCCTGAAACTAGAATAATCTCAAATTTATTGTAGAAATTACCTCATCTGAGCTTCTCTTCCAGGCATTTTCCTGAAATTTTCCTGTACATATTTTTATATCACTTGAATGATTTTCTATGGAGTTAAATATATTTTTTTCTAATTTTAATCTAGTTTAACCATTGTTCATAGAATTTCTAATTTTCAATCTACAAAGGGCAAAGTATAAAAGTATATAGTTTTCAATGTGTACAACAACGTATAAAAGTATATAGTTTTCAATGTGTACATGTAAGTATACATGTTTATATGTACATGTATATACCATTCAAAAGATAAGTATATAAGTATATAGCATTCAAAGTATAACACTAGAAATGTATAATTGGATATTCTTTTTTTTTAAATGTTCAGAAAGAAAACAACATTGATTTATAGGAACATTTATATGTTGGTTAATAAGATCTTTTTCAAGAATAATTTATTGTCAGCTATATAAATACAATGTATGTAATGTCAGGTCATGTATCTTACACTTACCAACAACATTCGTATGTAATTGTTATGTAATTGTTGTCACATATAAAATGAAATACTATCGACAAAATAATTAACGGTCTTACATATCTTCAGTTACGTACCGATTCACTTCAACAAAGCCAATTTTTTTTTAATTGCGTTTATTTAAGGTCGCCACCGGAAAGCCCATATGGGCGACCGTACACTCAAGTCGGGCCATCCTAGAGCGTCCCGCCGAGATTTTTTCGTCGATTTTTTCCAGCTTTATTGGTGGAGGAAGACCCCAGGTGCCCCTCCGGGCATTATTTCAGGCACGAGCGGGCACCTGGGTAGAACCACCGACCTTCCGTAAGCCAGCTGGATGGCTTCCTCACATGAAAGATTTCGACCCGAGTGAGGATCGAACCTACAGCGGTGAGGGACCTGTGATCTCAAGTCAGCGACCTTAACCACTCGGCCACGGAGGCCCCAAAGCCAATGTTACCAGTCAATTGGTTAAATATCTAGCTGCCGTTGTAGTTATATAATTATTATGTTGTGTATTCCATTTTTATATCGAAAGCTCAAGTAAATTTAAATAATTTCTATCCATTTAACTTGCTAATTGTTGATTGACCTTACTCAGTTTCATCTTAATATGATTTCATCTTTTACAAATGGTTTCTTTAAACATTTTGTCTAAAATTGTTTGGTGTTCCTTTGAAACAAACTGGTTTGGAAAAGACCAAACCTGACAAAAATGATCCTGAATACCTTGTAAGAAATTGTTTTGTTTTCAAATAACATTCGAAATGCATTCTTTTCTTCGACATATCAACGACAGCTGTTATAAAATAACAAATAAATTACAATTAGCATTATAACGTTCCAGTATGAGCGAACCTGATTGATTAAGTAAACATATCAGACAATTAATCCCTTTGGTGTAAAATTCACTATTTTCCTCGACAGCTTCATTCTAAAGTAAACTCAAATCAACATATCTATTTTATTAATGTTGGCTATATTCTAAAAAGTACAAAAATATATGTAGCGTATAACTACTTTACTCTAAGACGTACAAGTAACCATTTTATTTCAAAAGATGTCATCAATATAGCTCGGGGGTCTTTATTTGAGCAAAAGATTATATCTTCTTTATTAAATTGATCATTTGCGAGAAAAAAAATATTATTCTCATATCTAACTTAACCTGTTTCTCGATATCTAAATTGTCAAATTGTTTTTATTTTT